ACCCACACCAACCCCAACATCGACACCCACGCCAATCCCAACATCGACTCTAACACCAAGTACAGTTGCTTCCACAGAAATACCAGCACCCACACCTACACCGACTGCAGTTGCATCCACACTGATACCAACACCTATTTTTATAGTGACACCTTGTCATACACATGTGGATGTTTCTATTTTCACTCCACCAGTTGTGTCAGCGGGTATTACCATTAGCTCATCACACACATTCTCTCCTTCCCCATCTAGACAGCCTCCCATACCAGATCCATTATTAGATGAGGAGGGGAGTGACACAGGATGCTACCGTTGTAGTTGTAAGTTGTGTGCAAGTCTGGCCATGGGTTAGAGATGGACGACAAGGTTGTGAATGCGGCAAGGTCGTGCACAACATGCCCATTATCACGATGACGTTGGTGTGTCATAGGCGACACAAGATGGACCAATGATGCTGAGCAGAAGGTTCGCAGACAACCGAAACGACATAGGCAACCACTTGTATGGGACATTATGTTGATGTATTTGTTGGATTTTTTGTTCTACACTATACAAAGTTTTTCTTTAGTAATTATATTGTCACATACATAATCATGTTTTTCTATAGTATTCTTGCCACATACATAATCAATATTATACACAACACATTTAACTCACTTCAACATTACACTTCACATGTAAATCTCAACACAACAATAGCATGATCTAGAAAGACAACAACACTAACATACGTCCACACAAACACTAATACTTGTTCCCAAAATACTACAATGGGTCAACACAAATACTAACATAACACTTGTTCCTACAACACTACCATAACATTTGTCTACACAACACAACACTAACTTAACACTTGTTCACACAATACCAACTTGACAGTTCACCATACAACACTAACATGACAGTTCACCACATAATACTAATATCACAGTTCTTTGCACAACATCATGGCTCAACATTTTCGTCGGACATCTCGACATTAGAAATACATCCAACTTCTCCACTTAGAAGGAAACTTATACGTGCTTCTTCCATTAACCCTTCTTCAGCATTTTCGCGTGCTATACGATAGAGGTTGTAACGATTGTTCTCAACTCGAAAATGATACAATGCTCCCTCTAGTTGTTGAGGTATNCGTGCTATACGATAGAGGTTGTAACGATTGTTCTCAACTCGAAAATGATACAATGCTCCCTCTAGTTGTTGAGGTATCTCAACTGGCATATGGATGACAATTTGTTGAGACTTTTGTAAATTACAAATTTGCATATCTCTAACAAAATTTTCTTGCTCCTTCAAACAATATTGCAATTCGGCCCTTATGGTTCTTATTACCTTGCTTGAATAATGTAAACGAGGATTCATTGGATATAAGAACTCATCCTATAAGGCCCAATGATAACTCATATTTTCATATAAAGTTCTAACACTATAATACATGTTGAAAATGAGTTTTCTTCACTTAGACCACAAAAGATGGTGAATATATAGTGAATACACAAATCTCCCAACAACTAACCATGTCAATACAAACACTGTCTTGAAGTGACAAGTAACTTCTTTGTCATAATGCCGCAGAAGAAAAAATGACAACTCGTGAGTACTTAATGTCATGTGTTGAAAGTGACTAAACCCTGAATGGGTTTCATCATATAATGTGCTGAAGTGATTAAACCCTGAATGGGTTTCAACAAACCATGTGTTGAAGTGAAAAAATCTTGAATTTTAACATACCATGTGCTGAACTAACTTAACCCTAAATGGATTTTTGCATACTATGTGTTGAAGTGATAACACATATTTGATAAGGGAAAAGACTGAAATAACCTTACACTAGTCTGATGAATGACTATTCCATAAATGACATATGACTAATTTGACCTATGTAACACAGTAGAATTGTGACACTACTATTTAAACACCTTATTTGTGGTTGATATGGCAAACACAATATCATGTCTACATCAAATTTCTCTATGAGATTTAACAATCGTAGACATGAACGGGTTTGGTTATTACAAGAGCGGAACGATGATTACAAGAATGAGAGATTTTTCGATCCAAAATAGTATTATGCAGGAGTACGACGAGAGTGAACTTTTCGTGCTAAAAAATTACACGAACTATTCACACAACTAAGAGAACTTGACATACCAGTGCCTCATAGACGATCAATAACAATACAATGCCAGAATAGAGAGGACTATAAATTAGCAGTAAAACAAGTTCGAAGAGTGAATAATAGAATGCTGGTTCGTAGGTCTCGCAATTATATGCTCCAACAAGCAAAAGACATAATGCAAACTACACATGGACAAGAGTTGACACCAGTTGAGCAAAATAATATATTTTTTAATGCACAATACCTGTCAGATGATTATATGTCTGGTGAAGCTTAACAAAGTCTGCAATTGTTCATTTGTAATATAGCAAGCCTGTCTAACAAGTATAGTGTCAAGTCATGTTAGTCCTTTGTATTTGAATTGTTATGTATTTACTTTTTCATTGTGAACTCATTTCATTGCTTTATCAGTATAATCAGTCTAGTGACAAGTCATGTAAGTCCTTTTGTCATTCACGAGTTATATCATTACTTTATCAGTATGGAGTCATATCATTACTTTACTTGTGTCAAGTCATGTGATTCGTACCAAGTAAATGTCATGTCAAATTTATATATAATTGTATTTTGTGTCTATATAAACCATCCGAATTAATTGTGTACATCATAAACCAAAACATGTCTAGCCGCACATCTAAGACACAATCTAGTCAAACCACCCAAGGTTCTTCATCACACAATGAACAACAAAGTTCATCTTCACTCAACAAACGTCAATGCTCGACTGTCTGAATGAGTTTGTTGAATGTAGTTCATTCAATTGAATCATACACAGATTCTACTGGTGTAACTTGATATGGACAAAAGCGTGAGTTCCGTAATGAGCCCATCGACCCTTATTACTCATTCGGTCAAGTTGGACGCATATTTGTTGGGATTGCGATCGACTATCCACCTTCAAGTGTTCGTATCGAACCTATGCCAAGATGGTGACAGTTATATAACAAACTTTGTAAGCTTGAAGTATACTGTAGTTGACATGGATTAATGGTACTAAAGACACATTCGGCTGATATATATGATCCACAAAACTCTACCAATCATAATGAGATCATAGCTAGGCTTGAACATGAAAATGATCAGATGCAACGTAGACTTGATCGTTTGCATGCAATCGACCATGCTAAAATCGAACATTTCGATCATGATTATGCTGAAATTCAAACTTTGAAGGATCTGTTACTTGTTTCAAATACATAACTTTTTTGATTATTCTGATTTAAGTGATGATGCGTCTGACACTTTTATTCTTTCGAGTTTATGTGTACTCGACAATCTTCAATGTTGTTTTCTACATTAACCAAATTATTGACATACTATATTTCTTACATTATCATATAATAAAATTATTTTGTTTTAATGTATAAGTATCTTTTTTCCTATTTTGAAGTTTTGCACACTTTTGTAGGGTTGTGGTGACGGTGGGGTAGTGGTGGGGATAACGACGACGGTGGTGGTAAGGGTGATGGTGAGATGACAACGATGGTGGTGGAGCGGTGGGGTGGTGGTGGAGTGGTGGGGGTAACGGCGGCGGTGGTGGTAAGGGTGATGATGAGATGACAACGATGGTGGTGGTTGTAGGGATAATGATGGTGGTGGAGTGGTCGTGATTGTTGTGGCAAAGGTGGTGGTGGTAGTAGGTTGGCGACAATGGTGGTGGTGGTAATGGTGATGGTGGCGGCGTCAACGGTGGTGGTGGTGGTTATTGTGGCAGAGGTGGTGGTTCAATTATGCTTTTATGAAATTTATTTTTGATTAAAAAATAAGTACAAAATTATTATGAAAATGAAATTAAATTCAATAATTGATTCACTTTAAATTAGAAGATGGCCAGAGACATAAAGATAGATGTTTTTAAAAACGTCATTGAAAGTGAAGTTTTTAAAAACGTCATTGCATATGACTTTTTTTGGTCAAATTTTTTAATGCCCGTTTAGCTACCTTTTTGAAAATTATTTTAGAAAATGTCGTTCAAAATGACGATTTAAAAAAAGTCATTTTTAATGACGTATTTAATAAAAAAATTTAGATTAAAAACGTCAGTTAAAATGATATTTTAACTCATAAAAACGTCATTTTAAATGATATTTTTGAAAAAAAATTAAGTTTGAGAATTAAGTTTAAAATAGAATTAAGACTTCAGATGCTGGGTTTGGGAAAAGCAGAAAAGCACTTAAAGATGTTAGTTATGACTCGTATGACGTCCGACCCAACTGGTGTGGGACTGAGCACCTACCTGCAATACCAGGACTTTCGAAAGCCTCGAAAGTTTATTGGCCTATTAACACTTTTTTTCTCTTTGCTTTGAGAAGCGGAGACGCAAAAAAGACGTATGAGAGAGAAGCATCGGCCAAGATATTTACCGAAACAAAGAAAGCCGAAGCCCAGATTTTTTTGTGTCGCCTCCACTCGCACAAGAGTACCTCCATTTCAAAATTAGGGTTTCGAACTCCTTTTTTGTCTTCAACAGCTAGAGGACTTCCTCATTGTATGTTCCTCTCTCTATACATTAGCACACAAACACACATTATTCCTCCTCTCTATACCTATATAGCTATATCTATTACTCTCAGTAATTTCTTTTTTCTTCAATTAGAGATCATGATAATTCTTTTGATTTATCTTTTGGTTTGCAATGTTTTTTTTGTGTGTGTTTGATCAGTGTTTGCTGTGAGGCTATGAAGAAATTAATCAAAATTATTGTTGTTTGATGGTGACCCAAATTGTGGGTTTGAATTGAATTTTGATTTTATAGAAAACTGCTAGAGAATTATTTTACGATTTTGAGGATTTCAAAGAGTGTTTTGGACAATTACTAGAGTTGAAACTGAGATTGGAATTGAGGGGAGAAAAAGGGGAATTGTGTTTCATAACTATGCGAACATCGTGGGCTGATTCGGTTTCTGCAGCTGAGAACTCGGCTACTGGCGGTTCTGCTAATAATGGGCGTGTGGGGACCACTCCGGCTCCGACCAGATCGACTTATGTGCCGCCGCATCTCAGAAATAGGTCAACTTTGTCGGAGTCACCGGCTCCGGCATCTTATGGTGGCTCTTCAATTTCAGGTAATGATCAATCCGGGTACGGCCCTACTTTAGGCGGGAACCGAGGGGGTGGCCCTAGGAATGATTATAATAGATCTGGGTATGGTAGTGGTGGCCGCGGTGGTGGTTGGAATAGCAGAAGTGATGGTTGGGATCGTGGGAGGGGAAGGGAAGTAGATCCTTTTGGAGATGATGACGGTGAAGAGCAACCTGTTGGTGAACTGGAAAACACGGGGATTAACTTTGATGCATACGAGGATATTCCTGTGGAGACAAGTGGGGATAATGTGCCGCAACCGGTGAATACTTTTGCGGAGATTGATTTAGGTGAAGCACTTAATCAGAATATTCGGAGGTGCAAGTATGTGAAGCCAACTCCTGTGCAGCGGCATGCCATACCAATATCGCTCGCAGGAAGGGACTTGATGGCTTGTGCTCAGACCGGGTCTGGCAAAACAGCTGCTTTCTGCTTCCCAATTATCAGTGGAATTATAAGAGGTCAATTTTCACAGAGACCTCCACGGGTGCCGCGTATGGCATTTCCTCTTGCTCTTATTCTCTCTCCAACAAGGGAGCTTTCATCCCAAGTGGGTTTCCGTTACTTGAATGTCTACATGAGTTATGAGCTACTTCTAGGATTTTTCTCAATAAGGAGAGGTTTTAAATGTTGGTGATTTGATTTGCAGATTCATGAAGAAGCTAGGAAATTTGCATACCAAACGGGTGTCAAGGTGGTTGTTGCCTATGGTGGAGCACCTATTAACCAACAGGTTTGGTGTTTCTTTTTCTCAATAATTAGCTTGTTATTATCCTTTTACTTTCTATTGACTCATGGGGTTGCTCTGACTTCTGATTTTAATGGATGGATGATGTCAATTGGACGTCCTGAGTTATTTTAGCTGTTATTGAACTGATTTTTGCTGCTGTATATATGCACAAACAATTGAATGTTTCATTCCATCTTGATTTGCACATGGACCAGAGTTCAATAATATTTTCTTTGTGTGGAGCAGTTTCTTGGTCTTGTGTTGGATGCATTGCATGTATTCTGCATGTGTTACAAACTAGCCATTTTATTTTGGAAGTAAATTGTTATAGGTTGATGGGATAGCACCAAAGTTGCTGTTGAAAAGTTTTTGAAGCTTGAAAGATTTTCATGTATATATGTTATGATGTAATGCACAATTTTTTCATTAAAGTAATTTTACTGGTGTGATTCACATATAACTATCTAAATGTTGAATTTTAAAATGTTGAAATTGAACAAATTGAGTTGGTAAGCAAGACATCCTAAAAACAAACAGAAAACACGAAATCCATTTTACCCCGATGAAGAAACTGCTCAACTTCTGACTTACCCATGTTAATTGCTTTTTACATAGTTGTAACCAAGTAAGCGAGCATTTCGTTGAAGTTTTTTCTGCCTTAATTATGGTCTTCCATAATTTCAATATTGCTTATTTAGTTGAACTGAATTGTTATCAAACTAATTATTGTAAGAAATGAAAGTTCAGTCTCCCTAAATTATTTGTCATGTTGATTCTCAATGAATGTAATGGTAGAATTATATTGACTTCTCAAAATTAATAAATTATGGAAGTCTTCATATGTATATCTACATTGGTAGAGATATAAGGAAAGAGAGTGAGAAGAGGATGGAAACAGACGAGGGGGGGAAGGTGGAGGGAGAGGGTGGGCGAGAAGTGAATATGTTGATGTCTGGAAAATATTGTATTAGTGGGCCTTTTGTTCAACCTGACTTTTCAGAGATTGTTTATGAAAATGGCAGACATAATATTACCCTTTTAGTTGTGTTGAGATGTTGAAACATGCATTTGGACCTCATTTTTTCAGTGTTCTTATATATGTTTTGAACTTTGGGTTAGTGTACACTATGCAGGTGATTTTCACTTGTGCGGCTGTACAGAGACCATATATGCTTGAATGTGATACATCTCTTTGTTGCATTTATGTTTTGAAATCCTTTATGCATCTAGATTTGGTCTTGGATGCCCAGATTGTAAACACAGCTTTCAGGCGTCCTACCTGTGTACATGATAATCCTAGGCTGTGGTGTGTGCAATTGTTTGTAACATTCTCACTATATTACTTTGTCGATCAATTGACTAATGCCACATTGTTCAGCTTCGAGAACTGGAGAGAGGTGTTGATATACTTGTGGCAACCCCGGGACGGTTGGTAGATTTGCTTGAGAGGGCAAGAGTTTCATTACAGATGATCAAATACTTAGCTCTAGATGAGGCAGATCGAATGCTGGACATGGGATTTGAACCTCAAATAAGGAAAATTGTGCAACAGATGGACATGCCTCCTGCAGGTATAAGGCAAACGATGCTGTTCAGTGCCACTTTTCCAAAGGAGATACAGGTTCATTTTCTGCTTGCGAAGATCTACCTTTTCCATTTTGCTGTGATCTAATTTGAGTTTAAAGAAAGAGTTTTGTTTGTCTTTCTTGATGGAATACTTTTGCAAGTACAAGCCACACAACTATATGACTCAATTTCCTATAAGTGGGCCAGGTGCTGCGTGGTGCGGTTATTGAGTTTTTCTTGTACCTTCTTTTTGGATTGTTGTTGCATATTCCTTGTACTTTTTGACTTTCATTGAGATGTTGGGTGGTTTGGAATGCTCTCATCCTGGTCTTTCCCCCCTCTTCCCCCTTCACCTTCCTCGATAACCCTGATTGGGCAATGCCAAATGGGAGCAACCGGACAGCTTTGCTTAAGTTACAAATTGGTTTTTTAATTACAAATATGTGATACATTTGCAACTGTTGGTTGACTTGCAGAGACTGGCCTCTGATTTTCTTTCAAATTACATCTTCTTGACTGTCGGAAGAGTTGGGTCAAGTACTGATTTGATTGTCCAAAGAGTTGAATATGTTCATGAGACTGACAAGAGAAGCCACCTCATGGACCTCCTCCATGCCCAGAGGGCAAATGGTGCTCATGGCAAGGTAACTTTGAAGAGACGAGGCCATTTTCAATTGCTTGTCTACATTCCTATGAATAGAGCAATGAAAATCAACAATGATGTTACTATTGTTTGCAACGATATTTATGATAAATGTTGAATCTTTTATTGATACATAATGTCCACAAAATGGAAGAGTTTTAATGGACGCTTTTTGAGTTAAAGTGAAGCATCATAAATTCAAAAAATGGTTTGATAGAATGTAGTAAATGTTGTGATTTAAATAATTATATGTATTGCATGATGAACTCATGGTTAAGAGATTGGAGAAGGATGATATTGGGATCTTACGGTGAAGTCCTTGATATATGTTACTCAAAATTTCTTCTGTGTTTTCCTAATGTTTCTTATACAAGAACTAAGTGTTTTCCCCCTGTTGATGAGCTAATTTCCAGGATTTTCATAGTTATCATGTAGTTATGCGATTCTTCTCTTTGTGTTTTTGGTTTTGCAGCAATCGCTTACTCTGGTTTTTGTGGAGACAAAGAAGGGAGCCGATTCACTGGAACACTGGTTGTGTATGAATGGCTTCCCTGCTACCACTATTCATGGTGATAGAACACAGCAGGTACAGTGGTTTTACTCTTAAATTGAGCTGTACTTCAATTCTGTCTGTATCTTCTTGTGTCTGTGCTTCATAGAGACTTTTAGGGTTGTGGGTCAACAGGAGACGCATGGCACGTTTATCACAATTCATACAACCATTTTGAAGTTTGCTTAACCAATTTACAGATAAACACATATTACCATCAATTCATCATCCAAATCATCTATCCACCTGCATGGGCCATATCCATGAAAGTATTTGAAAAGATTAAGATTAACATAGTATCAGAGAAGCACATAGAATGTCCTAAGACGATGGAGATTAATATTGAACAAAAATGATTTAAGGTACAACTTGAAGGGTTATCTTTAGAGTGGATTCTCGTAATTGAGTGGAATCATATCGGATCTTTTTCTTGTTCGTTGAATCAAGATTATGTGAGGGCGCTGAAGGAATCGTTTTTCAGTGCATTGTGTTGGAATAGGAAGCATGTGTTTTTAAAGAAATACTGGAAACAAGGTTTTGTTTGTGGATGAAAATGGAGTCTAGCAGGTTTGTAAGCCTAGCAAATTCCATCTAGCAGCTTAGTAACCCTAACAAATTCTAGTAGGAAATTTCGCCTAGCAGCCAAATAACCTTAACAAATGACAGAAGGTCATTGAAGGAAGGGGATGGCAAGCATTTGGAGGATGTCATTCATGGCGATAGTGATGCTATGCCCAGAGAGAAGGACAATAGGGACTAGGTTAAGGTGGTTGGGGAGAATGTGAAAAGTAGTGGTGAGGTCGTTATGCAAAAAAGATTGTAGGAATTCTGAGTGTGGCGAAGAGGAGGAGAGATGGAGTTGTGCAATGGTATGTGTAATAGGAAGTTTATTCCAGTCGTGTTAGGCAATCCAGACTTCTTTGGTTAAAGCTTTGAAAAGGGATGTAAATTTGCAACCTTTTCAAATAGATAAAGCAATCCTCCTTTGTGAAGATAGGCTAAAAGCAGAGGAAATAGGTCGGAATGATTTCTTTTTTGAAGACTCTACAATGGTGAAGTTTCAACGTTGGCGCCATTAATGGTCATTTTACAAAGGCCGGTGGACATGGGCTAAGTTAAGGCCCAGTTGGGTGAGCTTTTATAAGAAGGTGGATGCAGTAGACCTGTTGGGTAGTTGGGCTCTTTTAAAACTAAAGGTATTGAGGAGTTTAAAAAAAGAAAGGTTGTGGCCTAGTTAATAGATAGCCCAAGGCCTGTTCCTTGTAAATCTTCGAGGAGTCCTTGTAGGGCTATTCTTCTTGGTCCATTTGGCGAAGTTTATAAAGCTGTTTAGAATGAAGAAGGTGAGGTAGAAGTTGTGACTCAAATAGGTGTTTCTCAAGGGGTTTCTCTTGCTAGTGCAAAGGCGAAGCAAGGTCTTGTAGTTGACGGATGCAGTGATGGGGAAAATATTGTCAATCGCGAGAGAAGATTTCAAAACTGGTGTTTACAGTGTGGATGAAGGGCAACAAATGTGATTAGCGTTGGAGGTGGACTAAGGCTACTATGATGCCATGAATATGTATTTGGAAGAAAGCGATAATACTGAAATACCTCGATAGATTCTCTACAATGTAGCGATATTGGTCATGAGGTTGGGTTATAGTTTGAAGATATTTGTGTTGTTGTAGAATTTTTTGACCTTGAGGAAATGGATGGAGCTCAAGATAAACAATCTCATAATATATGTGAAGCTGGTGAGTTAATTTTTCATGTTCTTTTTTGCACTTTGGAAGGTTTTGATAAATCTGAAGAGTCTTTAGTGATGGTGTTTGATGTTTCCATCTAATTCTGTCTGCACTGGTGTTTTAGAGGGGGAGGGGGAATTATGGTTCAAGGTTGCAGTATTGGTCATTGATTTAGAGAGTTCTGAGACACATTAGTCGTAGCATTGAGATGTGGTATCGGGCGATACGACTAAAAAAAAAATATTAAACATGACAAGAGATTCAGGTCATATCATGGCGTCGCAGAATCGTATCGGTTGATTTGGTGATGATAACTCAATAACTTGAAATTGACTCAGATATAACTCGGTCAACTTGACTAAGTTGTGCGAGATTTGACGTTTATATGTATTGTGATGGTATCATCTCGGAAGGTGCCGAGTCGAATGTGACTCTTAGCGGTATCAATCGATACTTTGAATCATGGAGAGAATAAGTACAAGGCAAGGATTTATGTTGGAAGACAATTTTTTTTTTTTGGGTGAGGGGGAATATAGATATGGGAGGGGTCTTCGTGTGTATAACAAGGGAATAGGCTTGGGTTATAGTATCTCTGATGCAATTAGATTTTTTGGGAAGGAGTTGGTGATTTCTAATTACATTGGCTTTATGGAAATAATGGGAGGCCCAATTTCAGCTCTATCTGTTGATCCATTGATCCACTGTGGATATTGCTTTTTGGATTTCTAGTGAACAACTAGGGCTATTGTGTTTTATCGGGTGAAGGGAATGGAGGGAAAACAAGCTTTGTTAGAAAAAGTTGAACCCGACTCCTAGCCCTTCAAAAAAGAGAGCTAAAAATAAAGAAATGAGAGGCGTAAGAAAGACAAGAAGGGGGGGGGGGTGAGAATTAAAGAATTGACATTCACGGATTAATTTTGAGGGTAGGAGTTCAAGGAGGATGGGGAGGGAACTATAGTTTGTTATGAACATTATTAGTTGAAATGTAAGAGGGTTAGGATCTTGGAGTAGAAGAATTTAAGTTGAGGATTGTTTTGAAAAGAGTTGGGCCCAATATTGTGGTGTTGCATGAAACTAAGTTGAAGGTCATTGATAGGAGAGTTTTAAGGAGTGTGTGGGGGTTAAGGTTTAGGAATCTGGTGTTCTTACCTTTTTGGGGCAGGTCGGGTGGTATTGTCATTATGTGGAATGAAAGGTCTGTGGTTGTGGAATAATCAATTGAGGGGGAATAGACACTTTCAGTTAGAATTAAGCATGAGTTTGAGTGAGGCTTACTGGGGTATAGGTATAGACAATTGTTGTGAAAAGAGTTAGTGAGGTTTTTTGGGTTGTGTAGTCCTAGGTGGTGTAAGCTCTATTTACACTCATCAAGCCAAAACAAACAAGCACAAATATTATACGAAAAGAAAAATGCAAAAAAAAAAAAAAAAAAATCTACAAAAACAAAAATGCAGTACCTGTTCAAGAAGGACATATTGGTTCGGCAATGGCTAGACTCTCGGTGTGTGTGTCTAGGAGAGAAGAAAAATGCAGCACCTGTAGAGCCGCAAAAACCGATTGAGAGAAGTTATGCACCAATGAGCGTTACCTTGAAGGAGGAGAATTTCAGCCGAGGACAAAGAGAGAGACATGAAGGGGTGCAGTGTGGGCACTTAACGCAGTAGCCATCATGTTTGGTTTAATGACCTAATCAATAGTGTTAGGTTTAGTACATAATTTCATTATTAAGGGGTAAAACAAAGTTTGCGAGATTAACTGACACTATATTAATATAGATATATCCAGGGACTGGTGAGTTGCAGTATTTGTAACTGTGGGAGCGAGAATTAGAAGAAGTGAAAATCATTTTGACACACGCTATTATGCTCAATGAAAAGGTGAACAAGTGTTTGATAAACAAAACAGTTACAGAAATATAGGCAAACTTACGCTTGGGAAGGGGAAGAGTTATCTAGTAGGGAGATTATGATCAATCAAAAGTTTTTTCATTATATGTACATTTTATAGTAGTATAGATTGGGAGTTGGAAAGCATCGCGTGGTTTGTATTTGGGTTTTATTTTGCTTAGTTTTACCAATTGGGTTGGACGTCTTGTCCACGTTTGATTTTGTATTTTCTTTTGTAATGTTTTCTTCTCTTTATTAATAAAGTTGTTTCTTATCAAAAAAAAAGAAAGTATCTAAATATATTGATGACTGATTCACAAAGATACAAGTTCAAGGCCATTCTTGAAATCAGTTTACGGAAACCACTAACACGGGAGTCAATCAGTTAGCATTTTGAAGCCATGATCTGTAAGTTTCTTCAAAATCCATCTCCACAAACTGCTCCTTATAAATTTTCACATGAGATAGAGTTTATAAGCACGGTGTGAGACCCTTTTCTACTGTTTTATCTGATTCTGGGTGAAGGTCTTCAGAGCACGTTGCTTGCTCTTCACATTCCTGCTGTTTTGGTCATTTCATTTTTGAGGCTAAAACCTCCTGAATATTTTCCTGAAAGTAAAGGAACAAACAATATCACAGTTCAGTTGCAGCCCTTGTAGGGATCATATTTCTGAACTTGCTCATCCTCCAAACATATAGTGCATCACTTTCGGTTTTGGAGATGAAGCTATCATGCACAACATATAACATCAATCCGTTTGACACACAAAGTCACTGTCTTCACATAGTACCTGTATAGAATATTCTTTGAAACTTGCACAAAACAATTTTTAACATGCACAACATATAGGCTCAGCACATCTTAGGAAGAAATGGTACCAAGTGAAGCTAAACTTCTTGGACACTACAAAGGCCAGACCAACCAACAGAAAGAAAAAAGAACAAACAGTGTTGTGAAAAGCTTGCTTAGGTGGTCCCCTAGCCTTGAGGTGATGCAAGGTGCTCCTGAAGCTCTATAATGAACCTGAGGCAATGGACTTTGCTAAGGCGTGTGGTTGAGGCGTACAGTGTACTCACCTTAGGCTTAATCCTGAGGCCAATGATGTGTGATATATTGACTTTGATTAAATAATTGATATGCATAACACATTGTAACCCTATACTTTATATTTGAGCTTTGTAGATCTAGTCTAATCTAACTCCAAGTGTAAAAGATAAGTATGTATTTTGGACCTTTGATCTGTGGCAGTTTCTTTTCATCTACGTCATTCTTTCTCTTTTTGTTCGTCTCTGTGCATCTCTCTATCTCTCTCTCCCTCCTATTTTTTCTTTCTTATTTTGGAACTTAGGCCTGATTTACTGAAATCAGTCTCTTATTTTTTTTTAAAAAAAACTTGCCTTTTCTTGGGTTTAGTTAGCCCCTAATATTGTGACATTATCCTTTTAACCCAGGCTTTGTTCTAGTCTCCGTCTCTCTCCATTTCTTCTTCTTTCTAACTTTATTCAGGAATCTTTTTATAGCCTTTTAAAGAAATCGATTTTGAAATTGTTGAAGGATGTGCAAAATATTGATGCTGAAAGAAATCAATGTGCAAAATATTTTTGATGTCTAATGCAATTTGCTGTGATGCTGAAAGTTGCTTAATTTATCTAGGAATCTCATTGTAATTTGCTCTATGCTATTTAAATTAGCTAAAATGAGTTGTCTCTAATGTATGCCAGAAATTAGTTTTTTTTTTTTGTGCAGAATATTATGGTTTTCTATTGGTGAAATGAGTTGTGTGTATTGTATTTGGATGAAATTTTCTAAAATTTGTGCTTTTAGTTGTATTTACGATATACTTTGTAATTTTCACATTTGATATGAGTTATACTGTGAAGTTTTAGGTTTTAGAGAGGGTGCAAAGAACTTGAAGAAGAGAAAAGAGAGACAAAATTATGTCTAGGGTTGTGTGTAACGTCACACAACTAATCCTAGCTTATATATATAAACACAAAGCATAACACTCTCATTAAGTTGGTGCATAGATATCCCGCATGCCCAACTTGCAAATAATGGGGTGAAAAATCTTACCACTAAGTCCTTTATTGAAAATATTAGCCACCTGGTCTTCTAATTTCACAAAGGGCATACAAATCAAATTTTT